TACCTGTCTATAAAAACCCCTTGTTGAAGTTCCTGTGTCATAAAATTAATACCGATTGAACCTCTTTATAAAGGTCACCTGTCTGTACTGGTCCCTTTTCTATGCTCTATGAAGTGACTTTCATAGACAGGTTTTACTGATATGTTGAATTATATGTAATTTCAGATAAACAAATTGCATAAGCGTTTGAAATGTTGAGCCTCAAAATTGCAGTTAGAGGCCTTGATCCTGTTGACAAAGCTGAATGTCAGTGATGAACCCATTTTCTGAAATTATGAACAGTTTTTAAGATTTACTGATATCTCAAATTTGAGTCCAAAATCAGGAAGATTCTCTCTGTGATAAGGCTGGTTGACAAGCATGGAGTCAACTTACTTTGACCCAAAAATTACGGAACTTTGGAGGTGGATCTCAGGTGTTTCGGCCATGGATAGTGAGAAAATTACTCACACAACATGATTCAATAATGATTACTTGACATCACTTATTTCATTACGACAAACGGCTCAATAAATCCACGACAACATTTCATCTGTCCACATTTCAGATTATCTCAGGAAGGCTGACACAAATGTAGGTCAGGGAAAAATCTAGGCCAAAGCTGACGTGGAAATTCATTCTTGAAATTTTGTTTTCTTTGATTTAAACACTGCTTTCCAAGAAAACTGCAAACCAAGTTTAAGTAATTTCTGATATAAGATAAACACTATTTCTCTTCTCTTTTACTGATGACAACCCTGTCCTAACTTACATGGGTCAATGGTGGCCACAACACCACCCCCACCCTTCAGTCATTTCTCACTCAATGTTTACGCTATCTTAATGATTTCATGTCACATGTTTTTATGTAATTCAGATCAGTGTGATGTCACCTGTTTTATGTAATTCAGATCAGTGTGATGTAACATGTTTTTAAGTAATTCAGATCAGTGTGATGTCACCTGTTTTATGTAATTCAGATCAGTGTGATGTAACATATTTTATGTAATCCAGATCAGTGTGATGTCACCTGTTTTATGTAATTCAGATCAGTGTGATGTAACATGCTTTATGTAATTCAGATCAGTGTGATGTAACATGTTTTATGTAATTCAGATCAGTGTGATGTAACATGTTTTATTTAATTCAGATCAGTGTGATGTAACATGTTTTTATGTAATTCAGATCAGTGTGATGTAACATGCTTTATGTAATTCAGATCAGTGTGATGTAACATGTTTTTATGTAATTCAGATCAGTGTGATGTCACCTGTTTTATGTAATTCAGATCAGTGTGATGTAACATGTTTTATGTAATTCAGATCAGTGTGATGTAACATGTTTTATTTAATTCAGATCAGTGTGATGTAACATGTTTTATGTAATTCAGATCAGTGTGATGTAACATGTTTTATGTAATTCAGATCAGTGTGATGTAACATGTTTTATGTAATTCAGATCAGTGTGATGTAACATGTTTTATGTAATTCAGATCAGTGTGATGTAACATGTTTTATGTAATTCAGATCAGTGTGATGTAACATGTTTTATGAAATTCATATCAGTGTGATGTAACATGTTTTTATGTAATTCAGATCAGTGTGATGTAACATGTTTTATTTAATTCAGATCAGTGTGATGTAACATGTTTTATGTAATTCAGATCAGTGTGATGTAACATATTTTATGAAATTCAGATCAGTGTGATGTAACATGTTTTTATGTAATCCAGATCAGTGTGATGTAACATATTTTATGTAATTCAGATCAGTGTGATGTAACATGTTTTATGAAATTCAGATCAGTGTGATGTGACATGTTTTTATGTAATTCAGATCAGTGTGATGTAACATGTTTTATGTAATTCAGATCAGTGTGATGTAACATGATTTTTTATCTCATATCATTTCAGTAATTGATAGTTAATTTGAGAAAAAAAAAGAAACAGACTTAATTGGAGAAAAAAAATTAAATGGTCAATTGCAAGTTTGACTGCCTGGTAACCAATTTTCAATTACCATCTCATTCATTGATATGTGCAAAACAGAACCAAAAAAGCTCATTAAAAATATTTCTAGTATTTTCTGAGACATGAGAATAACTTTTAAATTGTCTGACATCACTCCCTATGGAGCGAATTTTCCATTCCAATCAGCATAGCCATCAAACAAGCAGGTGCATTGAGACCCATGAAAAATCTGTGCACTACCTTTTGAGGGAAAAAATATTAAAAATGAGTTCAAAGATCAGCATGGGCAACATTATATATAAAAATAATTGGTTAATTTAATATTTATATACATCCAAAATTTTGAACCCAAATCTGGTTATTGTTTGGTATATTCAATAATATTTCATTAAGATGTGACATGTCCTGACCTTTCAGTAATACTGTGAAACAGGGTTATTTTGCCAGGCACAATTCGCTAATTTGGTATCAAAACCTGCATATCTAATTTCAATCACACCATATTTTCATCACAGAAGAGCAGCCAGGAACTAAAAGTATATGATACGACTCTCTCAATTAAGATTCATCAGTAGAATATTCTGTGTGCAATCTTAAGGTAAAAATAGAAAATGAGACACTGGTGTAAAACTTGTTCTGTGGTATACGTATTGCGCACAACAGTATTGTAAAAGTGAGTTAACTGTATCCAAGTTACAACCTCAAATTACATTATAGCTCTCATCTTAATCTAATAATCAGTTGGTCTCTAAATGGGGGCGGCACGTTTGATGATGTTTGTGAAATAGGATATCTTAATGTCACACACCGTGATTTGTGTAACCATAAACCAGATATACCACAGTCTTCTTTTAAGTGCTGTAAGGAGAATTTGGTGTTGAATAATAAGCTTCAACAACACATTTCCACAAAATATTATCACAGAGATGATCAATTTATGAAACATTTGTGAATATTGATATTCTAACCTTACAATTTTCTGCAATAAATCTTTCCAATTCAAACCAACAGGAACCTTTTTCTCTTGCCAGCATCACCAAATCCATCCTGCATAAGCTTCGGAGCAAACGTTCTCTATCTTAATTCAACAGAATATTTTGTCAGCATCAATTCAAAAAAAATTTCTTGGTGTAAATTCTGCATAAAACTTTCTGTTATCTCCATTACAACCTTTTGCTGTATCAAACTCTACAAAAATTTTTAGTTTGAGTCAACCCACCAGAAAAATTTGTATGTCAACTCCATATAGCCCTTTCTCGGTGTCTATTCTAAAGAAACCTTTCTTCATGTCTAGTATTAGCACTTAAGAAACCTTTCTCCATGTTTAGTATCAGCTCCAGAGAAACCTTTCTCCATGTCTAATATCAGCTCCAGAAAAACCTTTTTTCATGTCTAGTATCAGTTCTAGAGAAACCTTTCTCCATGTCTACTATCAGTTCTAGAGAAACCTTTCTTCATGTCATAGTATCAGTTCTAGAGAAACCTTTCTCCGTGTCTAATATCAGTTCTAGAGAAACCTTTTTTCATGTCTAGTATCAGTTCTAGAGAAACCTTTTTTCATGTCTAGTATCAGTTCTAGAGAAACCTTTCTCCATGTCTAATATCAGTTCTAGAGAAACCTTTCTCTGTGTCTAGTATCAGCACTAGAGAAACCTTTTTTCATGTCTAGTATCAGTTCTAGAGAAACCTTTTTTCATGTCTAGTATCAGCATTAGAGAAACCTTTTTTCATGTCTAGTATCAGCTCCAGAGAAACCTATCTCAGTGTCTAGTATCAGCACTTGAGGAACCTTTCTTCATGTCTAGCTTCAGTTCTAGAGAAACCTTTCTCCGTGTCAAGTATCAGCATTAAGGAAACCTTTCTCTATGTCTAGTATCAGCACTAGAGAAACCTTTCTCTATGTCTAATATCAGCACTAGAGAAACCTTTCTCTTTGTCATAGTATCAGCAATAGAGAAACCTTTCTCCGTTTCGAGTATCAACATTAAGGAAACCTTTCTCTATGTCTAGTATCAGCACTAGAGAAACCTTTCTCTATGTCTAGTATCAGCACTAGAGAAACCTTTCTCTTTGTCATAGTATCAAAACTAGAGAAACCTTCCTCCATGTCTAGTATCAGTCCTAGAGAAACCTTTCTCCATATCTAGTAACAGCACTAGAGAAACCTTTCTCCATATCTAGTATCAGTTCTAGAGAAACCTTTTTCCTTGTCTAGTATCAGTTCTAGAGAAACCTTTCTCTATGTCGTAGTATCAGCACTAGAGAAACCTTTCTCAATGTCTAGTATCAGCACTAGAGAAACCTTTCTCCATGTCTAGTATCAGCTCCAGAGAAACCTTTCTCCATGTCTAGTATCAGCATTAGAGAAACCTTTTTTCATGTCTAGTATCAGCTCCAGAGAAACCTATCTCAGTGTCTCTTATCATTACCACAGGACTATCACTCTAACCTATTTTCTATGAAAACAATGAAATAAAAACTTTAACAAGATCACTGAGCACAAAATTATCTTTCCACATTTAGAACATTGAATAAAAGTATGGCTGGAACCTAAAGAAAGTTCCTGTTCGTTCAACTCACTAAAAAGCTTTGCTAATGCATCTTCTGCTACAGCATGTTAATGGTATTTGGAGAACCTTAAAGTGCTCAGATCAATCACAATTAAAATGATAGTTTTTTTTTTCATTGAACCCTAACTTGCCAAGCAAACATTCTTAGTGAAATCTTACATGTAAAATAAAGATTTTCTCATTAAATCTTTTAAAATTAAGACTTTGTCAAAAAAAAATTATAAGCAATACTTGCTTTTTGAGGTCATCATTACAGGTAAAATTGAAACTACAAAAAAAAAACTGTTACATGCAAAATTGTTTTCTTCAGTGAAATGTATGACATTCAAACTTCTCAGTTAAATCTTCATTTCCACAGTGATTTTTTTAAATTTCAAGTCAATATTTCCACAGTAAAATCTTGATTGTAAAGTAAAACTGTTCAATGGAAACATGTAACCTGGACGAGCGCGACTCGCATAGAATGGCACAAACACATAATATACAATATATACAAGTTTAATACACTATATACACATTATAAATTGTACACACAAATGTAAATATGTACAACTCACTCACTCATTCAAAACACACACACTTTAATAATTACATATGAAACAGTATAGTCTGTCCTCAACGAATCTGGAAAGAGGTCTGGAAACGTCTCTGGACCGACTAACAACCAGCAATGTTCACGGCATCGAACAGTTGCCTATAGGAACGTCTGATGACAAATGTCCAACGGAATTCATAATTAGAGCACAACTGTCTACACAGCATAGCACCTGCCCACACAGGATATCAGAACATCTGTCCACACAGGACATCATAGCATCTGTCCACACAGGATATTAGAACATCTGCACGACCATATAGGACATCATAGCATCTGCTCACACAGGACATCATAGCATCTGTCCACACAGGACATCATAGCATCTGTCCGCACAGGACATCATAGCATCTGCCCACACAGGACATCATAGCATCTGTCCACACAGGACTGTAACTGGCGGCTGTCCTGGCCCACATATGACTCTGTATTCTATATATGTATGTATTCTGACTGTGTCACATTCGTTCCCGCCATCAACATGGGTAGAACTGCAATAACACAAGACTACGTCTGACTATGCTGACTATATAGTCTATAATGATTCATAAATATCTATACACAGTATTTCTTCTATTTCAACTATTATTTGTGTATATACATTCATCTGCCTACATACAGTAATTGATATGAATCTATTCACTAATTCTAGTCTGAATTCCATGTAATTCATTGACATATTGACAAGTTTCGCTTATATTTATTAAATACAAACTAAATTCATATAACAGTTGATATCTTATAGCTATAATAGAGATATATTGAACTGTACTCATATAGCGTTATAAGCATATACATTTATCGATAAATATTCGCCTCAAATATCAAACACAACCGATTTCGGGCATATAATTGCAATATAAAGGCACAAGAAATGATTACAAACTTACCGCAAACTGTATTTTGCGTTGGCTAACCCCATATAAGCAATAACTGACTGCCAAAATTTACACCGCTGTTCTCGCTTACATGTATATTTTCCTTCCGGCAAGACTAATTTCAAATATTCGAACTCGGATCCGGAGAATCCGCATTTATAGAATTTACAGCAAATAATTAAGAAAATAAAAGTACAATATTTAGACCAGATAATACCTGATTTCTTTCATCGAATACATGTACAAATAGTTCAGACATTGTTTGATATATACAAAAATGTAAAATATACAAAAGTATGGTTGGGACTGTGACAAAACATTGTGGTTACTGTTAACTCTTTCAATCAAGATGTCATATATTTAAAGTTTAAGCTTTAAAATTATGAATAAAAAACTTTCACTTTTTATTTCTTTTTACGTTTTTGTTTTTTATTTTACACTTTTTACACAGACCTCTACTTTGATATCAGCTGACAAGTTTCACTTCAAATAACACTAAATCATTGACCCTTGGCTGATTGCAGGACCCTGTCTGCTACAAAAGACTGGAACAAATTTAAATTGTAAGTGCCTCATACAAAAGACAACCAAATGAGAAATTTGACGTAGAACACGAGCAAGATATCCTAATGTGTCAAACCAACATTCCCTATAGTTAATAGGCGTCTTGAGATTTCTCTCTTAATTTGACTGACATTTCAAAATTACTCAAATCTGCGTCGTGTGAAAAGTGTGTTTAATTCTCCCTAAAATCAAGTATCACTGGAAATCTACATGAATGACATGGTGCTCCTTGCATTTTTAGATAGAACTGAAAGAATTCTCTGATCACAGCTAATTTAAATAAAGTGGCATGGTGTTAATTTCAGCTAGATAGGCAAAGTAATTTAACAATTTGATGTGTAAATTATATTTTCGTGACTAATGGATCTTCACACATCAGTGTTTCTCAAATACTGTATACGTCATAGTTGAAAATAGTTGAAAAAAATTGTGTGATATTGGCAGGGAATAGACCATAAGAATAGAGGGGAGGGCTGTTGGGGATGCATATGTTTGTCTTTGCCTGTAAGAGATTGTTGAAAAGTTAGTGAGATATTTTCCTGCCCCAGAGTAGAGATTTAGAGGGTTGGGATGGATAGACATTCCCCTGTCTTACTGTCCAAATCAATTTGTTAGGGTATCTAAAATTGAAATTAATGATTTTCAGGGGGGGTGGGGGGTTACATATTATGCGATATGGAATCAAAATAGATCTTACGACATCTTTCACCTAGTAAACCAGACAGTATGGGTTTATCTATCTAGAGAGGAGTAATTGAGGAAAAGCCCAGGTTTTTAACAACTTGCAACTGACCTTAAACAAACACCTTACAGCCACTACCGTATTTATTCTAATAAACGCCCCGGGGGCGTGACATTTTTCAGACAGGGGGCGTTTAATAGAACACAAAATTTCATAATTTGTTGGTCGTAACATGCCATGGCTGCCACTTAAAAACATTGTTTAACAAACTAACGAATTACTCAGCAAAGAATAAATTTGAAAATTGCAGTAATTCCAACATCGTTGTAGCTTTAAAACATTGTTGTCAATTGCATTCTGATAACCTGAATTCTTGTATGAAATGACACAATGTCAATCGTGTCAGCTTCAGTCAAAAACGTACAATGTTCATCATCGCTTGTAGGCCTAGTTTGCATAACAAAATAAAAAAAACACAGCGGTATATAAGCCAGTCTGTTTCTTAATAAATCCCACATACCGGATAACAATGTCTTGGACAAAACGACAGGACAGACGGGAGGCCGGAATACGAGTGACTGGGAAAGCATTGCGGTTTGAGGCTCTACATATGCATAAGGCAAATGGTAGTCAATAGTTCAAAGCCTCATATGGATGGTTTTCTAAATTCAAAAAGAGACATAACATTTCATTCAGGCGATCTACGCATGTGGCACAACATGAAGTTTCATTAATTGATGATCGTATTGACAGTTTTTTTAATTTCGTGTTAAGAATACGTTGCTCACATGGACGAAACCCCGGTGTGGTTTGACATGCCATGAAAATCGACATTGGCAATAAAGGGGGAAAAGGAGGTCAGAGTTTACAGTACTGGCCACGAAAAACAAAAAATAATGGTGACACTGGCAGCATATGATGATGGGACCCCCCCCCCCTTGTGCACATGCCAGGCATTTGTCCCCTTCCGAAAGATGACATACCAAGTGGTATTGTGGTATACATGTGCAGCGCCGGGCAAATGAGGAAAGTATAAAATTTTGGTTAAAAAACCTCTGGGGTGTGAATAACACAGCTAGGCGGTTATTAGTATGTGACGCTTTCCCTGGTCATCTTACTGAAGATGTAAAAAAACTGGTTCGTCAAAAATATAATTCAGACATCTGTGTTATACCCGGAGGATGTACATGTATGCTACAGCCAGCCGATGTGTCGTGGAATAAACCCTTCAAACAAAAACTTGGAGAGTTGTATGACGAATGGTGTTTCAGTGGCCCCTATTGAGAAAACCAAAGCAGGGAATCGTAAAGCCCCATCTAAAGCTGTAATGTTGTCTTGGGTCAAGACAGCATGGGATAGCCTTAGCCCGGACACAATCAGAAGATCATTCAAAAAATGCGGTATCACAAATTCGCTGGACGGTAGCGAGGATCATATTTTCCAGCATGATTCTGACGATGAGGAATTCCAGGGGTTTAGTGAAAAGGATGTCCAAGCTGCAGATGACGTTTTGCAAAATTTAATGGTTGATGTGAACGCACCTTCTATTCCACAAATAGAACTGAGTGAAAGCGAGACTGGCAAAAGTGAAAGTGAAGACATTAGTTCGTACGGCAGTCCCGGCCGTTAGGCCTGCAGTATATTGAAATGAACCGTGGATTAAATTGATATTACTTGTGTACATGTCGTGACAGTGTAATTTTCTTGTGCCAAAATTCATTTGTTCATGTTCATGGATACCAGGAATTTAAAATTTATTAAAAGGTAAGCTTTGTAACCTGACTCCTGAGTTGTTGAAATTTACTGTGAAAACAGGTGGGGGCGTTTATTAGAGACGGGGCGTTTATTGGAATAAATACGGTATATAACTATACACTAACAAGCATCATACATAACTGTATGGCTTTAGTAGTAAACACAGTGTTTACCTTATCACCTGAGGTTTCAGGATTTCCAGACCTTTGAGTCACAATACTGATGAAATAAAAAACCATGTTATCCTCAGAATCTCAACTACAACTAATGGCATTCTGGTCATTACCAGCACAGACAATGCACAGACCTAACTCATACACCATCCAAAGGATTCACTTGTGAAGTTGAATCTCATTTAGCCACTATACTAACAGCCTACTTCCATTATACCAAGATAGAAAGGGTATTCAAGACTAATTTGTAGACTAAATGACACTGAAAAAAGAGCAATCACCAACAAAAGCCAAGTTTAAGGACCTCAAGAATGGAAAGGTCTTCGTGGTGAAACAGGACTTCCCTCATCATTTACACATACTTAACAGATTGAATTCATATCACAATGGCTTGTTTGGAATTAATATTGGTAAGCCTCACCTTCATGTGTAACAAAGGGGAAAGGCGTGGGCTTAATATTGGTCAGCCTAACCTTCATGTGTAACAAGGGGGAAAGGCGTGGGCTTAATATTGGTCAGCCTAACCTTCATGTGTAACAAGGGGGAAAGGCATGGGCTTAATATTGGTCAGCCTCACCTTCATGTGTAACAAGGGGGAAAGGCGTGGGCTTAATATTGGTCAGCCTAACCTTCATGTGTAACAAGGGGGAAAGGCATGGGCTTAATATTGGTCAGCCTCACCTTCATGTGTAACAAGGGGGAAAGGCGTGGGCTTAATATTGGTCAGCCTAACCTTCATGTGTAACAAGGGGGAAAGGTGTGGGCTTAATATTGGTCAGCCTAACCTTCATGTGTAACAAGGGGGAAAGGCATGGGCTTAATATTGGTCAGTCTAACCTTCATGTGTAACAAGGGGGAAAGGCGTGGGCTTAATATTGGTCAGCCTAACCTTCATGTGTAACAAGGGGGAAAGGTGTGGGCTTAATATTGGTCAGTCTAACCTTCATGTGTAACAAGGGGGAAAGGCGTGGGCTTAATATTGGTCAGCCTAACCTTCATGTGTAACAAGGGGGAAAGGCGTGGGCTTAATATTGGTAAGCCTCACCTTCATGTGTAACAAGGGGGAAAGGCGTGGGCTTAATATTGGTCAGCCTAACCTTCATGTGTAACAAGGGGGAAAGGCGTGGGCTTAATATTGGTCAGCCTAACCTTCATGTGTAACAAGGGGGAAAGGCGTGGGCTTAATATTGGTCAGCCTCACCTTCATGTGTAACAAGGGGGAAAGGCGTGGGCTTAATATTGGTCAGCCTCACCTTCATGTGTAACAAGGGGGAAAGGCGTGGGCTTAATATTGGTCAGCCTCACCTTCATGTGTAACAAGGGGGAAAGGCGTGGGCTTAATATTGGTCAGCCTCACCTTCATGTGTAACAAGGGGGAAAGGCGTGGGCTTAATATTGGTCAGCCTAACCTTCATGTGTAACAAGGGGGAAAGGGGTGGGCTTAATATTGGTCAGCCTCACCTTCATGTGTAACAAGGGGGAAAGGCGTGGGCTTAATATTGGTCAGCCTCACCTTCATGTGTAACAAGGGGGAAAGGCGTGGGCTTAATATTGGTCAGCCTAACCTTCATGTGTAACAAGGGGGAAAGGTGTGGACTTAATATTGGTCAGCCTCACCTTCATGTATAACAAGGGGGAAAGGCGTGGGCTTAATATTGGTCAGTCTAACCTTCATGTGTAACAAGGGGGAAAGGCGTGGGCTTAATATTGGTCAGCCTTACCTTCATGTGTAACAAGGGGAAAGGCGTGGGCTTAATATTGGTCAGCCTAACCTTCATGTGTAACAAGGGGGAAAGGCATGGGCTTAATATTGGTCAGCCTCACCTTCATGTATAACAAGGGGGAAAGGTGTGGGGTTAATATTGGTCAGCCTAACCTTCATGTGTAACAAGGGGGAAAGGCATGGGCTTAATATT